GAAAGAGTCCAGGTCTGCTCACCCTCATCTCTGCACACTCCCATCCATGGACCCTTTGGGCACAGTCATTTCCTAGAGCCCAAACCTGACACCTTACTGCCCTGCTAGGAACAAAAAACCCAAACTTTTGCTGGCAAAGTATGATCTAAGCTCCTCAGCTGGCCAACAGCATCCCCCAGCCTGGCTCTGAAACCATCCCAGGTCTTCCTCCCGCTTTGCCCATGGACAACCATCCTTTTGTTTCATCTCTGAGATCCAGCTCAGTGCCCACCACTCCGACACTTCTCCCCCAACTGTCTCTTGTGCATTGATTTGGCCACATGGTACTTAATTATCTATTCATTTATCGCCACTAGAATGCTTCAGAAGTGATCAGAAGTAGGACCTCAGGCGTGTTTCTGCCCATCCTGGAGCTTGGCACACAGTAGAGGCACAGGAAATGACTGGTGAAAGAATGAATGAGGAGACAGAAAAATTAAAATACGAGAAGAACACAGGACAATCCTAAATTCAGGTGGGTTTCCATATCCATAAGCAGAAGAGTTGCTTTGAAACCGTCTAGAATATCAATGACTAGATCTCCTCAGTATCTCCTGTTAGTGGTTTGTTTGGAAATATATTGGAGAGGCAGGGGAGTTTGAAAGCCCCTAATTTCAAAAACAGACAGAAAGTGACTGATGTGATTTCAGCCTGCTAAATGCCCAGGGGGATAGAAGGTGCGGTGGGGTAGAAATTAATTTGGACTTCAGTGGCCTGCTGGGTATCGGTTTCCAAGAAATAATGATGGATGACAGTCTCCATCTGCTTTCTACTGCTGCCGGGGCTCACCCTGCCAGAGCCAGGAAGAATCCAGCAAAGATCCCATCGACTGAAATAGAAAGTCCAGGTCAAGGCTTGGACAAAGGGAAAATATCTTCCCCACAATGGAAAACACAGCTGAGCATCGCTCACCCTGCAGCCAAAAGACTGTCAGACAAGAGACAAACTCTAAAACGCCTTTAAAAAGAGGATGTGTTTAAAGGTCATCGTTTCTTCTGCGGCTCCTTAAAGACGCAATTTTTCCTTGACACGGCTCCATGGAATCGTGTGGTTAGAGGTCCCAGGTTAGTCCTAGGTCTACAGGTGGTTCTGTGTGTGAACTTGGTCCCTGATCAGATAGGGAGCCTCAACCCAAACTTCTCCACCTGTGGTAGGAGGGGGTCAGATTGCAACTGCATGTCCCTTGTCCGGGCCTATTTAAATGCATCAAAGCAGTCAATTCTTGTAGTGAAACCTATTTGTTCAGAGATCACATAATTCAAAGTAACTCTCCTTGCCCCCTCATCTGATTTCAGCAAGCTTGGTGCTTAGAAGGTAAATAAAAATCTCCCTAAGTTGTTCACCTAAAACAAATACAATGTTATATATCCACTAGAGGCCTGATGCACGAAATTCTTGCAAGAGTAGGCTTTCTTTCCCCTGACTATTGGCACCAGTTTCCCTCTGGCACCTGGGACCTGGGCTTTCCTTGCAGCCCTGGCTTCGTCTGGAAGGATGTCTGGTCTAATTATCATACTATGCTTTTATTTTTATAGCTTATACTTCAGTTTAAAATATGTTAAATAGTTTTAAATAGACATTTAAAAATCTGTTGTCCTTAATGTTAAAATCTTGCTGTCCTTAATGTTTAAAATAAATTGAGTCCCACCAATTTGCCATTCACTACACTGAAAATTTAGCTCACTCCCATACTACCCTAAAAGGGTTAAAGATGAATCTAATGAACAAAATAAACTGATGAATAAAGTAGAACCAGAGGTATGGAAACATGGAACAGACTGATGAATCTCAGAGGGAAGGGGGAGGGGAGGGATGGGACGAGATTAACCAAAGAATTTATATGCACAGATGCATTACCCCTAGACAAAAACAATAGTACAGTGAAGGCCTGAGGTGGGGAGGGGGGAGGGGTGATTAGAAGTGATCAATGGGGGGGGGGGG